TTCACATCCCACTTAGAGTTCAGATCAATGTACTAAAGTAAACAAGACAAGTATAGAGAACACAACTTTAATCTAAACTTAACTCGATGCTGGTTGAACATGGACAACTCAACATGAAAAACTTAGGTGTTTAAACTGCAAAGCTGTGAACGAAGGTCCTGCTTGATTGAATGTTGGATCTCACAGGAGATCTAATCAGCCAAATTTGGAAAGTAAAACGATAATACCTCACTACTGCAAGGCTGACACAGCGTCGTAGAGTTAAAACAATATTTTGGTTGGTCTCAGATTTAGATGTTACTAAATTATAAAAATGAAATTACAATATNAACGTTTTTCATTGCATTTCATTCAAGGCTATAGGTAAGGTTTCTTATGAGACAGCACTTCTTTTCCAGTGTGGAACCGCTTGTCTCTATATATATTGCACGTAAAATACATCAAAATAAGTAGCCTCTTTCGCAAGCATTTTCAGTGTTGATCTGAAAAATCTGTCGACCCATAAATATGTGTTCCAACAATAATAATAACAGCTTTATTGAATTGTCAATGTATTTAGTGTTAACTACTAACTGGGGACAAGCTCACAGGGTTTCTTTCCCTTTCTCATCTTTTCAATCAGGAAGCAAAAGTGTAAACAAAAGACAGGGTAAAAATCATTTAAGCTTATCAAAATCTAGTATTTGGGGATTTCTTTCCAAGTTTATGTGCATTTCACATCCCACTTAGAGTTCAAGAGATCAATGTACTAAAATAAACAAGACAAGTATAGAGAACACAACTTTAATCTAAGCTTAACTCGATGCTGGTTGAACAGGGACAACTCAACATGAAAAACTTTAGCGTTTAAACTGCAAAGCTGTGGATGAAGGTCCTGCTCCACAGGAGATCTAATCAGCCAAATTTGGAAAGTAAAATGATAATACGTCACTAATGCAAGGCTGACACAATGCCGTAGAGTTAAAACAATATTTCGGCTGGCCTCAGGTTTAGATGTTACTAAATTATAAAAATGAAGTTACAATATTAAACAATGGTGTCGATGTTTGTTCTGTTTTCAATAGCTGTTTCGTTCGTTAAAAGTTGTTCGTTTCGCTCAAATAAGTTTATTAAGGTCGAGGAATAAGACACATTTTCATCAAAGCTTACCACATTAGCATGAAATTTAATCATTTTCAGGTCACTTGCCAGCAATCAAATGCACATCTCCTGGTCATTTTGAACGCCTGGACGACTCAAATGCTCCTGAAATTCAGCCTTCAAGTTGGCCATAGTACTAATTCGAACATTCGAAGTCAACTCCTCTTCAATTTAGCGAAACACCTAATATTAATGATCGTGTAAAAGCTACAAAATCATCAATATTCAGGCTGGCACGATGCACGCATTGAGTAGTAGNTGTTACTAAATTATAAAAATGAAATTACAATATTATACAATGGTGGTGATGTTTGTCCTGTTTTCAATAGCTGTTTCGTTCATTAAAAGTTGTTCATTTCGCTCATATAAGTTCATTAAGGTCAAGGAATAAGACACATTCTCATCAAAGCTTACCACATTAGTATGAGATTTAATCATTTTCAGGTCACTTGCCAGCAAACAAATGCACATCTCCTGGTCATTTTGAAAGCCTGGACGACTCAAATGCTCCTGAAATTCAGCCTTCAAGTTGGCCATAGTACTAATTCGAACATTCAAAGTCAACTCCTCTTCAATTTAGCGAAACACCTAATATTAATGGTCATGTAAAAGCTACAAAATCATCAATATTCAGGCCGGCACAATGCATGCATTGAGTAGTGGGCTCGCACTGACTGCACGGTTACTATTCCAATATGGCGTCGGGCTCGGTTGCTATTCCAACATGGCATCGGAGTCGGGCGCTCTCGTTCGGGCGACTAATTACGAACAGTGTCTACACCTGAGTGAGTGAGTGAGTGACACATTTGCATATCAGAGTCCCCACAACAAACACGTTTCTACGTTTCGCGTATCCACGAGTTTAAAAAAATGAGTCTCAAACGTGGTTAAATTATTTGTTGTTGCATGCCAGGCTCTTCTCAAACCCAAATAATAATTTAGTACCTTAAATAATTATGTTAATGGAATTTTGTTATTGGCATTTTTCCGTGAAATAAAAGAATATTTAACTGAAAAAATGCAGTGATTTTTGCCATGATTTAAGTCTGATATCCAACATTAAAACATATTAAGCAAAATTGCATTTTTCATCCTTTCTGCACGTTTGATTTTCACAACCAAGTGGTTGTAAGATTATTTGCATAAGTTAACTGTAAATATTGAATGCAACTGAGAGAATGCTGGTACTGTCCAATTAATTGCATATTATGTCAGTCTGAGGAAATATTATCAAGTTTTTAATTTTTTTTAGCAAGTCCTTCAGAATTAACAATGATAATATCATGGGTGACAAATTACTCCTTAATTTTGGTGTGAAATTTTAGCATTAATTTATAATTTCACATGTGAAATTATAAAATTGCCATGGCAACATCTCTTGTATCTCGATCAGTGCCAAGATGGAGTCGAGATTTAAGATGGTGATCGTACCATTGAAGAATTTACAGAATTAAAAGAAGCGGCAGAAAACTGACTTACGTGAAAGAGCACAATTACCCGGGTGAGGGTTTTTGAGAAGTGGTGTGACGAAAATAACCTTGAAAGATACCTGGAGATGATTCTTCCTGAGCAGTTGCATGAAGTACTCGAGCGGTTTTATGCCTTCATGTGTAAACAAGACGGAACTGATTACGAATGTGGGTCCCTAAAGCAGATTATCCAACCACTCAGTCTGGAAAACAGTGGTCAGAAAGCTGAAGGCCAAGGAAGTTCCAAAATCCAAAATAATAACAATAACTGGCCATCGACAAGAACAAAGTGTTGAAGCCTACAACTCCCAGAACGAAGACGAGCAGCGACAACTGTCTAGCATCATTGATGGCAAAGAAATCCACTATAACCAGACAACCAGTCGAGTTCCCCTTCAGCCGCTAATCCAGTCCACTGCAGCGGTGAGCAATGGCCACGCCTACAATTTCCACAACTGTAATGAGGGTGATAAACCAAGGACATGCCGAACAGGCCAACGCTTCATGCACGACAAGTTGTGATGTATAATTTGTCCACAACCATATGCTCCTTGCCAGCTTGGAAGGTGTTTCAACTTTGTACATTTTCACTTGACTTTCATTTAGGCAAGTATTCTTAGACCATAAAGTAAATTTTTGGTGATGATTTCACTTCAAAACAAACTGTCAAAACTTTATATGGCCTCATGCAAAATTTTAGTTTCAGCTCATTTCTACGGGTGCCATTGTCATTTCTTTCATCAGTTCATGATGAATTAGAGCCAATCATTTAAGAAAGACTTGACAGTTGCCATAATTTTGAAATATTATAAACAAGCACAAAGAATTCAAAAGGTATTTTTTGAGAAGAAACTCAGAAAATTACAAACTTTAGCAATAATGTATGCTTGAAACTAAAACTATATTCTTCATAACGTTCTCGGTTTTCGATAGAATAAACCAGTAAAAAAAGTTATGGTTGTGAGCGTAATTTGTAACCCACGATATTAAAAGGTACTCAAATGGTTTTCTCATGAAATTAAGAAATAATTTCACTTGCATTTTGTCAAAATTCTGATAATTTCCCTTGCCTAAAGGCTCAGGAAATTATCAGAATTTTGACAAAACGCACATGAAATTATTTGCTAATTTCGCTTGTCACCATTTGATTGCACATACTTATCATATGGCAAGGTACTTGTGAGGTAGATCTGAGTGTTTTGATTGGTTCTTTCTTGAAACAGTTATAAGCCATGTACAGTCACACCTCCGGTTGCGACTGCCTCCCGCAGTCAAAAAAGTGTCAAAAGTGTCGAAGTCAAATCACTATATTTGGAACCTCTTGTAAGCAACCACCTCTTGTAAGTGACCACCTCTCTTCAGCAACCAGTATTCCAAAAATAAAATACCAAAAGATTCCGAATCAAATCACTATATTTGGAACCTCTTGTAAGCTCTTTTTCACATATTCACAAGTTATAAAATGACCCAGACTATCCTTGGCAGGCTTAACAGAAAACTGGTTTAATTTTTGTGAAATGCTTTCAAGGGGATTTCTCCAAGAAAACACCAATAATTTAGGCCATAAAAATCTTCCTGGTGATTTTGCCACTGAAAAACTTGAAAAAATACAGTAGAACCACCTAAAATGTCAAGCCTAGGTCCCTTACAGGAGGTGATTGCTTACCAGAGCTCAGACCATATGGGGTCAAAATTTTGCCTCATTAGCATATGGTAACTGCAGAGACTTACTGCATGCACCAATGCCCATCTAAACTCATGTAATAACTTTTATTATTATCCAACTGCAGTGAATACCGCCCAAATAACAGTACAAATATACAGCGATATTGTACAGTTATTTGTACAGTAGAAAACCTGTTTGCCATACAGGTCAGTGCACGCACACAAAACTGTCACACTCTCCCTCTTTCATTGATAAATTTATTGACTACAGCAGTTGGATAATAAATCTCTTATTAGATGTTTTGGTGTGTAGTATCGCTTTATATTTTTACTCATTGTTTGTATTTTGACTCACCCTATGAGCTCGTCAAAATACAGCACAAAATGTGTCACAACACCTTATACAAATTCTGCTCGATCATCTGTCAAGTGGTAGCTTACAGGAGGTTAAAAATAGAAGAAAGTTTCAAACTTTTAGCACTAAAAGTGGTCGTGGTCGCTTACAAGAGGTGGTCGCTTACAAGAGGTGGTCACTTACAAGAGGTTCCAAATATAGTGATTTGACTTGGGAACTTTGGGTATTTTAAAAAACTTGTCACTGAAGAGAGGTGGTCACAACTGGAGGTTCGACTGTATTTAAAGGGTTTCAGTCTTGTAGAGTATATCACCTTAGGTGAGACAAGTTAGAGAAGTCGGATTGTAAGATCAGTATTACATAAGTTATACCTGTTGAGCCACTCAAGTTTGAATACTCCCCCCAAGGCCTTTGCGCTCATTCCAGGAGGCAACACCCATGGCATTGGCTGGCCTCCATGTTTGGCTTCAGATGCAAGTCTGGCAAAACCCTGGAACTTTCCACTCTCCTTTACAGAGAAGATCAGGATGACATTTTTATATCGCTGAAAGGAAATTGAGAATGTCCACAGTTACTAATTTTTCACCACAGCATATAAAATAAGTGATAGCTTCTCAAATCTCAGAACGTTTCCTAGTGTTTATGCACTCAGAATCCACTGGACACAGAAGCACAAATATGGGCAATTAACCAGAAAGTTTCTGAATCTGCAGAAACCCTAGTAATATTTATTTGGAACCATTGTGTGTATATTTAACAATTAGATTATTCGCTCTTGATTTCTATGGGGTGATAGTTGATGAGGCCGTATCACCTCTCATTGTTCACCACTAAATTTTCTCCAATTCTTACTGGTTTAAATTGATCACATGACACAATACTGTTCATCCGCAGAGACACACTACCAGCCCACAGTACCCCATCTGAGGAAAATACCCAGAAGAAATCGCTGAAATTGCATTAAAGTGCACCTAGCCCCCCAATTTTTTTTTTCACTAAAACCAATCCACTTGTTATTTGAAACATTTGGGCAAAAAAATTTCAAATTTGGTTGAATCCTCAATTTTCTATGCCCTTTCAAAGTCGCATTTGAATTGTTATGTGACCGCATTTAGGGAGTGCGGGACGGTGGTTGCTGATGACGTCTACCCAGGAACCAAACACAATAGCACCTCAGTCAGCTCCTGGTATTTGCTTGAGAAAATGGAAAACAAAATTAATCCTTCCAATATATTTTTGGACTAAAATGTTTAAGTATTGTTTCAAAATCATTTCTTTTTCGTCACTGGCATTAGGGTTAAGTTTCGATTTGAAAGACTCCAAAATAAACTTTGATCGAGCACGTTCGACAACCGTGAACTCACTGCTTAGAGCTTTAAGAGAAATTTGCAATATTTGAAGCCATGACAGAGAAAACTTGTTTGCAGAAGAGCTGCTTGTATATTAGGAATGGAAAGTTAGATAGGAAGTGGAGGAGCAGGCAAACAAAAAGCAGGAAAGAAAACACGGACAGCTTGAGTCAGTTGGATGGTAATTTCGTCACCTAAACACAAGATTTCCACGTATGCTTATAGCCTGTTTACATTTGTCCTTAGCGAGAATGTATTTCGTCAAGACATGGTTGTTCTATTAAATCCATACTTTCTGGAATGCTTCGTGTTTATAAGAACGACATAAGTGTTGCAGTTTCAAGACTTGATGACCTCTGTACTCTTGTGGCGTCTTCTCTGAGCAGCTCTTTGCTCTAAAATTTGATCCTTTTGCAGAAGTGAGCTTCTATTTAATGTTTAGTCCATCAACTCAATGGACATAAAGCTTGTTTTAACTCAGTTCTATTTAAGAATTGGGGGAAGCATTGTCAAAATAAAACATCAAAGCCTGACTAGCCTCGCTTTTATGCGACTCATTCCAGGCGCTGACCAAGTGGTCCGCCATATTTGCATTCCATGTATGTTATGTGTCTGGAGGTTTCTCAGTAGAAGCCAGAAGCTAGCGGAATTCCGCCAGCTGTAAAGACGAATGTAGCCACCTGTTCCAGTTATTAAAATTGGCACACATATAACAACAAATTAAGACTTACAGCCTGAGATGTTTCAAGAAGGAAATACTATTTAATCAAAGTGCTCTATGAGCAGACCTGTCAATTTCCCAGTGGATGATGATTGACAAGTGTGGCTTATGGGTTATTCTAGTTATACAAGTTATCATATTGACTTCTGGCTATACTTGTTATAACAGCAGTCTTTAAAAAAAAAAGACTTTTCATGCATACGTCTTAAGGGTCAAGAACTGGCAAACCTCCATGACATGAGCTGCATTGCTCCAATGGATTTACTCATTCTCCATTTGAGCTACTCTACATTGTAAACTTGTTGTCGACTTGCCCAACATATTTTTTTCTTCTCGTCTGAGAACAAAGTGTAGCTGCTTTACACGACTCAACGCCGCTATATCAAGTGCGAATAGGTTGCGAATAAGATCAAAGCAACTCTGCCCACAGGGTAGCTGCAAAAGATCTCCAGAGAAATCAAGATTTTTTTATTATGAATTACAAACGCACAACATGTAAACCATCAGATGCAATTTGAGGTCGATCATGCGAAACAGCAAGGTCACATAACGTAAAAGCCATGTTCTTATCGTTACAAGCTTGAAATAAGTAGATATAGCTTCTTATGGATGTTCTCCAGCAAAAAAGGATTTGACAAGAGAAGAAAAAGACCAGAGGCTTAAAAAAAACAAGCTGGAAAAAAAAGCAGACAAATCTCAGAATCTAACACGGGTCCACAAGAATGGAATATGGGTGCTAACCATAGTATTAAACACATAAGAAACCTTGCTTCAAGGGGGGAAGATACAAAGTACTTCAGCCTTATCTCAAATTGTCTAGAATATATGCGAGTTAGCTAGCAAATATGCGAGATATAGTCTCTTAAAGTGCAAACTTCTCAAATGCTGACGTCTAGTGTGGCTAGCAGGAGTCCTATTTGACCTTTTTTCCAGCAAGAATCTATTTTTTGATGACTCAAATGACCTCAAAATCACACTCTACACATGTGATCATGTTGCGATTATTAAATCTACTACTAGTAGTAAACATAGATTAAAGAGTGCATTTGAGTTTTGGTGGACTTGGTATGTTAAAAAAAGAAACAAAAATTCTAACGAAAGCATTTTGTGCCTGAGCTGTTAGGTAGGCGTGAAATTGGTCTCCCTTCAGCAGGGGCAAAAACAAATGAATTGGTCGCAAAGCACATGCATACGAGAGGGTTTGATGTCATTTATACATATATTATGTAATATTATACATAATTCTGTGTTTTATACCCAGTCCGTAGTCTGTAGTCTGCAGTCAGCAGTCTGCAGTGCATGTTTATACTGACCGTATAAATCGACACCAACCATGTTTGTTCCGTTGGTATGCGAGACAACATGCTTTTAGTACCAAAACTAGGACAATTATTTTGTTTACGAACATGACTTTGAATCACCTTGGCTTTGGGGTAACAGCTACAGGGCATTTTCACTTCCGAAACAATGAAATGGAGGACATGTTTGTGTACCAAAGCAACCCTGTGAGAGTTGAACTCATTTCCTATGTAAACAGTTTCGTTGGGTTTATGTTACATAGGCAGCGAAGTGAAACTCATTTCCTCCTTTGACTTATTCAGCACAAAGCAGCATTTGTTCCAGTCGAAGAGTAGGGGGTACACAACACACAGCCAAACTACAGCTTTCTGTTCGTATGAAAAGTCGTACACATTTCGTGAAGACATGTCTGCAAGGTTTTTAAATGCCATTAACTCTGACTTCAAACTTAAAATAAACAACTTATCTGCTACAGTCTTCAATAAGCTGCCTCGAAAAGTCATACACATTTCGTGAAGACATGTCTACAAGGTTTTAAATGCCATTAACACTGACTTCGAACTTTAAATAAACAACTTCAGTACCCACTACAGTCCACAATAAGCTTCCTCAACACTCGAAAGAATTTTTTTCGGGGGGGGGGGGGGGGGTTGGCGTCCCCCAATAAATAAATAAATAGATAGATAGATAGATAGATAGATAGATAGATAGATAGATAGATAGATAGATAGATAGATAGATAGGGTAGGGCAGGGCAGGGCAGGGCAGGGCAGGGTAGGATTCACAGATCTTGAATTTTCCGCATTACGCGATTAGAACTGCGTCCTGTCGAATGCAATAAATAGACATATAAAGCTTTTTGCAAAGCCCTGATTTTTTTCAGGCTTCTTTCCAATTGCTTAAATTGGAAAATTTACTGCCATGATCATTCTTCACTTTCATCGAAAACCACAGTTCAAATATGAATTATTTCATATATATATATGGAGTGGTCACGTGTAGTGGCAGGAAATTTTGCTCCAAGTTTTTCACTCAACTTTTTGGGCATTTTTGCGCATATCTCAGGCCCATCGGGCCGATCACTCTGATCTGGGTATCATTGGAAAGATCTTTTCCTCCTGCTGAAGTTGAGCACAGATGATGCCAATTTTGGTCAAAGACAATGACATCAGAAGTGGAAGAAAGGCCGAGGCTCATCACAGCCGGCACAGGAGTCAATGGGTTAAAAGGAAGAGCAATGTGTTCAAGATTTCCATTTACTAGAAAACAATTAAATTTATGCTACACAAATTCAAAATTCATTCCAAAGGAAAATGATGCTTAACCTCACCTTAAATGTTGCATTCAGTTTCTTTTCATTAGCCTTGGGAGTTGACCAGACACCCTGACAAGGAAAAAAAGATTGTTTTATAATGGTTTCAAGTGTATCTATCTTAGGATTTGACATCTTCAAAATACACCCATAAGGTTTCTCCCAAACTAATCATTGTGATTGCCATTCTTTTCCCCTTCTTATTCTAATATTGCTTTTTGCCCTTCTTATTCTTTGTTTCCACTTCAACCTGACACTTAATGTGCAGAAATTGGCCAAACATTATACACTCTTCTTCTCAATGGCCAATGGCATCACATTGGAAAGCTGAAATACATCAAAAGGACCTTCCATGGCATCACAGGAGTTATACAGTATACATGTAGTGCAAAGGTAATGCAAGAGAAATGCTCAATTTCGTTCCCTTTTGTTCTTCTTAATTTTGTGGCATGTTGAGCAATAATTTGCTGGAACATCGGGTCTGATATCAAGTACCCCATTTCTATTATGCCCTCTGGCAAAGCCAGGTCTCAAAAAGGAAATTATTTAAAAAAATATTTACAAGCTGACTTACTGTACCTTGGCTTTTGAAAGTGCTACATTCTCATGATTGTTACTCTTCATCACAAAGTATCGTGCCTCATCAAAGAAGTCATCTAAATTGAACTTGTTTTTGGCTTTGGATGATGCCCTTGCCACTTTGCTTTTAACGTGAAGCGGACTATCAACTGAAGAATTATCACTTTCATCACTAGATTTGGTTGCTACTGCTGGGGAGGCAGCCTTTCTTTTCCTTCTCTTTACTTTAGTCCTTTCTTCTTGTAGTTTTTGTTCTCTGTCACTTGCATTTTCTAACACAAAGAGAAATCATTCAACATTAGCAATGTACTAATGCAAATGTTAAAATTTGTTGCGCGGAGATATCATACACTATTGGCCATTACTGTGCAGTGACTCCACGGTATAGAAGACTGATTTAAAGAAAGTGCATGGCCATTTTGCCAGGACCAAGGGAATTGACGGTAATAAAGAGGTGTCCGTAAAGAGAGGTTCAACTGCAATCATTTTATTTAATTTAAAAAATGAATGGTCCATGATATATAACTTATAACAACTGATAACATTTAATTTTAATACAGTCATGAGCTCTGATTATGATAACATCCACTTAATAAAGTCAGTATGAAAATCAAGACTTGATATTTTGTCAAACAAGTTTTATGATTTACATGTAATGATTGATCAATGATTAACCAATTTACATCAATGTCAATTAAATTAATACTGTAAATTAATTGCCTGGTTTGATTTTCATTGATTTAACACCCCAGGGTTAATAGTCACCTTTGATTGATGGCCTCATTGGAATGAGAATACAACTATGCATATTCAAGGGACAAATGCATTGGCAGCCGCTGTCGTAGATGCACCATGCATAGAGTGAGCTTTAAAAATTTGACTGTCTATTCCTGCTGCACTTATAAAGGTTCGTAGCTAACATCCCAATGTTGTAGAAGTGACTGGTTTGTGGGGGCATTTAAATGAAATAAACAACTTGTCAGGAAGGTAAGATGGGATAACGGGTCGAACGTTCCTGGATATTTTTAGATATTGTCTAAAACAATCTACTGGACAGAGCTTCTTGTCTTGGTCAAAGTGGGCAAAAAATGCTTCTGCTGGTTTATCTGCACTGCCAGTTTTTCTAGGGATGGTGAGGTTGAAAGACACCCCTTCTGGAAAGATGCTGCAATGTCTGAGATCCAGCGAAGCCAAGGTGGAAATCCGTTCAAGACAGGTTAATGCAAACAGGGTGAGTAACTTCATATTGAGATAGCCTTAAGTGAACGGGTGCTGTTTTTCCCAAAGAAATCATGCATTTAATCATAACATCAACATTCCAGGTATGGGAATACCTGGGCTTTGGAGGACGCTTACTGAGAGCTCCTTTAAGGTGGCTCCCTATAGTTTTAAGATTGCACGCACGCTGAGGACAAAAGCTCAAGTAATCTCCGTGCTCTCGAAGAAAAACGTCAGTGTTTTTCGATATTTTATTACGTCAACATGAGCACAACAAGCAAAACTGACAGTGAATTTTCTCGCGTTTCCTTCGGTGAAATTTTGTAAAACTTGGCAGATTGGTAGTAAATGTTTACTTTAGTTGGAGCTCGTTTTTCAGGGAAATCTGTAAGACCAGTTTTTTCGCAGCGGTAAAAGACGTAACTTTGCAAAAATAAAAAAACCTGCCTTTACAAACCCTACTTTTTTCGTGTTTAAAATTCGTGACCCGCAGGAAGCAATATGCTGTGAAAATTTTGGAAGATTTCACCGAAGGAAATTCAAGAAAATCGCAAGTAAAGCCATAAAAAAGTAAAAAAACATATTTGTCTGGGCATTTCAAATTCAAGACTAAAACCAATTATTTTAACAGAGATGATAGTAAAACACTATTTAATCATTGCTTATTACATGTAATTAGTTTGAGAGGACTGGGTGTAAATATGAATGCAAAAATGGCATTCAAAACATAACACTTGCGTGCGCAACGCCACAAATGATTACCCTACGGAGCCACCTTAAGGAACCTTGTAACGTAAGGATGCTGACCCACTGAAAGAATTGTCTATCTTTGGATGAGTTGACGAAATAGCAGAACGAAGGACGTTAAGTGATCGGTATGCTAAGCCTTCGTTAAAGAGTTCTGTTGAGAAAATTAAAATGTCACTTATAGATGACGAAAGAGGATCAATTTGTCATCCAGATATACAAGGAGGTGGAGGTACAAGTAGCTGCGATGAGTAGATCGGTAACGTTTGTTGCAGCTTGGAAATGTTGGTAGAGATGTGAAACACGGCCAAGTGAAGGTGAGGATACATTGGATGAACTTGGTTCAGGTTGGTCGGGTCCACTACGAGGGTTGGACCGTTCAGTGGCAACACTGGCCGAGATATTAGAAGTCTCAGCAGAACCAGCCACCAGGGCTGGGCTTGCCAAACTGGAGCAACGAGAATTAGATCCATTTGGTCAATTGTTACCTTCCTCAGGGTTTTGGATATCACATTGAAGGGGGGGCATAGCCCTGTAGAGGAGCCCAGCTTATCGTAAAGGCGTCTGTGTGGATGGCTCCCAAGGTCGGGTCTCCAACTGATGTAATCCGCGAGTTGGTTGGTTACACAACTCGCAAGCAGATCCATCTGACAATTCAGCAGAAAAGGCTGAATAATTGTTTGGACCAACTTCCACTCGCTCATGTCCTTGAATTATCTGGACTCCTTGTCCGCTGAGACGTCTCTTCCTGGGATGTGAGAAGCTATCACAAGGATATCTCTTTCCTGACACCAATCCCACATCTCTAAGGCCAGAGTCATAAGTTGGGGGAACATGTACCCCCTTTGTTGTTGATGTAAGCGATGGTGGTCATGTTGTCTATCTGGAGAGATACGGTTATGTGAGACTTCATGTGAGAAATCATCTCCAAATAGCCATGATTTTGCATTAGGCAGAGCTAGTTGCGCGAGGTTTGTCCTCGAACAGTTTATGGCTGCAAGGACTCTCTGTCGTCTCAGGATAGACAGCTGAGCATTGGCTGGGCCTAAAAGGCAAAGAGCTTGTTCAAAAGCTACTTTAATTTCCTCATAGGGTGGAGCTGAATCATTTTTGATACAATCACGAAGGCCACAAAGTGGGCCTGTGGCAATTAAGAAAACACACTGAACATTAAACATTTCCTTATCCCTTTCTTGTACAAACTTTTTCACTTTAAATTGTTGATCAAGTTTTAGAGCAGAGAATGCATCCACTTCAGGAGTTGCCCAGTCATCCAAAATAACAAGAGATTTCTGCTAAGATAAAAGATAATTTTCTCCGAAAATTAGTATCCAGAAACTTGGAGAAAGAAGCTGATGGTTTCTGGGAGGTTGACTTGGCAACTGGGTCAAACAGCCCATGATCATCACTAGATTTCATTGAGTTTTCAGCTTCGTCAGATGTCTTAATAGACTCTGTTGGTGCCTTAGTAGGCGCTATGAGTGCCTGAATAGGCTCTACGGGTGCCTTAATAGGCTCTACGGGTGCCCCAACAGGCGTAGTAGCAGTCTTAAAAGACACTTCGGTCGCCAAAGATTGGCTAATCTCCAAGCCTGACGTTTCACCAGCCATAATCGACAAAGCATCATCATCAGTATCTGCAATTGTTTCTGGTTGATTAGCTTGGGACTCAAACGAGTCTATTTGGTTGGAAAGACATTCAATCGACTGAAGAATCTTCTAAAGGGAATCGTTTTTGTCCTTACGCCGTTTCAGCGGGGACCCTTCATGATGTGGGTCAGGCAATGAAACAGAGTTTTGGTGGGAAGATGGCGACCATGAGCGAGACCTTTAACCCGACTCGTATCTTCTATGGGACATGTTCAGCGATTTTAAATATCCTGAAAAGCAACAAATATCACCTAAAAGAAACCTTTGTGTAAAAACACAGAGGTATAGCCTAAAAAATGGTTAGAATTTGTAAAAAAGCAGGGCAAAAGCAAAATACTTACTGAATGGTTTGAAGCACAAGGAAAAAAGCCACCGAAGCATCATGGGACCACAAGATCTAGGTCCCAGGACCTTGTGGGTATACCCAAGCCCCTTTATTGTTTCTTTAGGGGGCTTCGCCCTTCTGTTGGCATTAAAAAGTGGTTTGAAGCAATAACCAGGAAATTCCTACCATTTGTTGTCTCATATATTTCAAACAGAGTCTGTGAAATATAATTTTTGGGCCCACAGTTTTAGCTAAAACTGTGGGCCCCTTTTTAATAAAAACTTAGCTAGTGAGCAGCACTCTGCGAACTGTAGCCCACAGTCGTGGGCCCCAAAACAAAGTCCTTCATGCTATGGCCTCTACGAAACCACCAGATGGGAATCTTGAAGACTCTCTCGTGGGCAAAAAACCTGGCAGCAAACACAGTGGCAAGCAACGTCAAAGTTGTCCCACGAATCAAGAAGGCCAAAGATCCAGATCGAAATCAGCATAGCGTTCTAACCAACCTCGATTGTCGTCAAAAAATGCCAGAGGAAAAGGTTCCGATCACCTAAGATAGACAGTCATTCTCTGAAGAAAAAAAGGTTGTTCAAGATGGCTAGAAGACCGCTATTCCATTTATTACCACAAAACTTGGAAATCCATAACTTAACATCATTGCAGCTTACTGATCGGCAGTCCAAGGTCCTTGGCATGGGATTAAAGTTTAGACCTTCACTTCCAACCCAAGTGCTGCTCAGTTTGACCTGCAGATCAGACTTCTGTCGGAGAGTTTGTCTTCAACATAAATTCGCCAACTGTTTACAAGACCCGGATTTCAACCCTAGACTTTATATCCCAACTGGCTGGAATCCACCGCGAGAAAACCCAGACCTTGGAGACAAACTCTTCGCTGTCCGCCAGGAGCCACATGAGAGCATTGCGGTTAACATACCGCACTGGAAGAGCAATCTTACAAAGCAGGAGCGAGAAGAACTTCAGGAACTGAAATCCAACCTGCACATTAAAGTTTTGCCTACAAATAAAAACCTGGGGTCTTCGCTATTGTCTACGGATTGGTCCCAGAACCCCTGCCCAGTTCACTCTCAGTTTGTATTCACCTTGACAGTCAGCTGCAGCTTTTCCCTTGCAGAATATGAAAGAACAGAAAGGGGCAGCCCTAAAACACAGAATCCAGAGTCCAGATTCCAGAGTCCATGTTGATAAGATATAATCCACTTGATAAGACATAATCTTAGCAGTGTGTAAGTTTCATGTGTGTATTTTCATTCAAGGTCCAAAAATTACTTACAATTACTGTCTGTCAAGACAGCTTTTAATTTTAATCTGGTGTTTTCAGTTGATTTTCTTTGATTTTAAATTTAGTAATATGTTAAAGTAGAAAAGTGACAATTTCACTTTTCACGCAATGTTTGGAACTTGATACTTTTGATTCAATTTCCTCAGAAAGGAGTGTAAAATGAAACCCTTGTTTTCTCGAAACACACAGAAGATGTGCTTGTTTTCTTTTTCTCTGCTGGAAAAAAATGGAAGAAAATTAAACATCTGATGAAGAAATGGAATAGGAATAATTTAGTTTTACTGAAAATGAACTGATAAACAAGACCTAATTTGAGGAGGCTCAAAAGTGTTTTTTGACCACATGAAGAATGGATACAAAGATACAGTATTGTGCAAAAGTGATACAAGCTAATTTCAACGAAATTCCTGGGTTTTCTTGGCTTTTAAAAGAAATTTCGCTTGAAATGATATGTCAAAGAAATTTCCCCAAATTTCTGTGACACCAACTGTTGAATTTGTTCGACCATAAATAGTATTCTTTCTCAGTCATGACCTGATCACTTTGTTGGACGCTTTATTTCAAAAGTTTGATTGGTATTAGACCATGTTGATGTCATAGGAAATCTCTTACCCAGGCCCCGCACCTAAATTTCTACAATTCACTCCAACCCCCCTGTCTTCCCCAACCTCGCCAAACCCCTGGATTGACCACGGCAAATTTTGGGCTCCTAAAAAAGTGGCTGGGTCTCCTAATTTCTGAAGTTAGGAGCGCAAAGCGCATCTTAAAAATTTCCTTAGGCGACAGCCTTGACAACTCCATGAACTGTTAGCTATGAAACTCACCTGGGTTATTTCATTAGGAACACTCAATTGCTGACTTAATACAAAACCCCAAAACACACAGTTCTGATAAATACAAGACTTGAAATGAATCACTGAATACACTTGCCAAAATGCCATTTTTACAGCGTGTAGAACCACACGATTTTTTGTGCCAACCCCGGTCTCTGCATGGCCTTGCATTGTTTGCTGCCACAGCAACCGTTCATGACCAAGAATCACGCACTACGAATGAAAGACTAATGAAGAATTTGAGCTACGAATCAGTGTTTCTGTGGCAGATATACCGTGCTTGAGAAGACCAGTAAAGCTGTCTACAGATGCAAAAGCATGTATAGATCAGAAGATGTGCAAAAACGGCGAGATCAAAAGCCACTAGATCCAAAGAAGTTGGCAAAACGTGGATTTACCGTGAATTCGTCCGCCACGCGAAGGTCTTGCCACCAGCAAGGCAAACTCGTGATAAATTTTAGAAATGAATCGTGGTTGCAATACTGTGAAGGAGGTCTTCCAGAATTGTTTTTCCCTGTAAGTTTTAGAGTCCCAAAGAATACTACATAGGCAACAAAAATGGAAAAAAGTACACCCAGTATTTTTGTAACAAACAATGACGAGGGGCTGGGATTGAATAAACAGCAGCTGTAATTCTAGTTTTCTATAAAAGTAAAGAACCTAAAAACTTTTATCTTAAAGGAGGCCTCGGTAACCGTTGTTTATGAAGTTTAGGCTGTATTGGTGAGTGGTATGGTATGTATTGCTGCCACTTTGCAAAACACAGGAAACGTCCATTGAAACGCGTGGTGTATCCAGCTTAAGAAAGGTGTGTTTTGATTGAAAGTTCCTCACAAGTTGTTTGTGGCTGTTTGCTTTAGTGGCTTAATACCCAGAACTGGAGATGTTTTTGTTTTGTTAGTGGAAAAAACTGAGCTCGCTGTCTTCATAATATGGTAAGTACATTCTAATTCTCTGCATATGAAACTGAACTCAAGAGAACGAACCTGCTTACAAACCTTTCGCAAATTTTAGGCATGTGACTGTATGTTATCATTTTATATGGCGATCGAGGACTGCATACCCTGTTCTCCAGCATGAGTTTACAAACAAATACATGAATCTGAATTTATCTTGCGCAAGTTACATGACAGTTTCTTCGCCGGTACATTGATCAGTCGCAAAAAGTTGCAAAAATTGTGCGAACGCTGGTGAACTGCACTTAAGCGCCTTGCAAAATTTCATGTATAGGCTGGTGAATTATCATTAGTGGTCGTGATTTTTCGTTAACTTATCAAAAAGTCAAAGAAATATCGTCCTTTGTTATAGCGAATTATTGCTCCACAGGCCACAAAATTTCAATGAAACTTTTGAGCGAACTTTCATCGAAAAATCACTGGAACAAAGAACAAAATTTATGCATTTCGCTTGCATTACTTTTGCACAATACTGTAGGGTTTCTCACAAAAGTGACTCAACAAACATGGCTGCCTTTAATTTGATTTCACTGCCACTGGCCTCTCTTCAGTTAATTAGGGTGGCATTTGAAATTTTTTCCTCATTCTCCACTTTGCTGTATTAGGGTGACATTTGAAATGTTTTCAATTGCGAGTTATGTCTTCATTTTCTCATAAAAAAAAATTATTTCTTTTTTCTGTGGAAAAAAATTAATTTGCAGAGTGCAATGTATAGCTCTGGTACGATAGTCACAAATGTCCTCACCCTCGCCTGGTTCACTCCCAGTTTGTATTTACTTTGGTACCTAGGACTTTCCCCCTTACAGAATATGATTGGACAGAGACCTTCATAAGATATAATCTTGTCACAATCTTAGCAGTGCATATGCGTGTATTTTCACTTGATGTTCAACAATAACTTACAATTACTGTTTGTCAAAACAGCTTTCAAATTTTACTCGTGATTTATGTTGATTTTCGTTCATTTCAAATTCAATAATACATTGAAGTAGCAAATGTGACAACTGTACTTTTCACGCCAAGGTTTGTAACTTGATACTATTGTTTTCCTTGCATAGGTACGTAACATAAAACCCTTGTTTTCTTGAAAACTTTAGAGACGCATGGGGGAAAGTTGAATATCTCATGAGAAAATGGAAGAACAATTTTGTTTTATTCAAAACGCCAATTTTCTTTTCAACCATAAACAAGAATTTAATTATACTAGTATACCTAAATGGTTCAAAATGCTGCCAAAGGGAAGGATGATGAAAGGAGTGCCAATGCAGTGCAGGGTTGCTTCCATACAGAACTCCTGACCATTGGTAACAGTAACAATCTCGTTTATCTAACTTCTCGGATTACAGTACTCAGCAGCACTAAGCTTCATTACATTTTTCATTGCTCTCTTATGGACTAAACTCATGCTCTTACATGTATACAAGTACACATGGAATTTCCAGAAATTCCCCAAAGAATTAAATAGCATTGTTGCAAGGTTTCTAAAATTAAATATTACCTGAGAAATAGGACATTCCAGAAGGTTTTAGGTCACAGCTGAATAAGTTCCAGTTAGATATTTTAAATAACAACAACAAGCAGTAATTTTTGCGAAGGATTGGAATGATGTACATTCTTCCTGTGTGATTTCCAAAATGTTGACTACAGTTGTGCAGATAAAAAATATGAACGGTACCACTAAAATCTGAGATTTTTTCAATGATATTAACTTCAACAGATCGCAAATAACACTTGATGAGAGGGAACTCTGCTTCAAACTATAAAACAGATGCCTGGTTAAAAATCAAAATTTTGCTTGCTGTTGTGGCAAATGACACAGTTAAACATCATCAATAGCACAATATAATGTTGAACCTTTTTTATGAGTGATTACAACTGGTTTACTTCTACCCTTCTGGTTTTGAGAGCTTTACACTGCATTTACTGAAACCGGCACCACCCAGACAATGAAAACCAATCAGATGAGAAAAGTCCCTCACTTTCGCATTGTCTCACTTTCTTCTGGGACCATTTAATTTAAAAGGGACTGACTGCACCAAATTTTCGGGTAGGTGACCTAGGAACTAGGCAAAGGTCTTTTTTCTTATATGTACAGGACTATAAGTAACTGCAGCCATGGTTTGTACACATACAGTAAAAAAACATAAACATAAACAGCACTCTACCTGATTCTGATTTTGAAGTGCCTGATGAAGAGGGTGTAGCTGTTCCTCCATCTGCATCACTAAAATCTCCACTATCATTACTGGCACCCTCACTACCCTCTTCCAGATCATCAATCACTTCCATATCCTCACTGACAACATATTTGCTGGCTGCCTCTGCCTCTTCCACACAGGCTGCTTTGTTTTCCACTAAAGTCTCTATTAATGTTTCATCTGTACCTGCAGATTGAAACATCATGTTAACAGTTAGTTGGCTGAGTTTAATTAACTGATATACAGATAGCGCTTAGCCAAATATACAGACAAAAAAGTTGGGACACGAAATAACTTCTCCCCTACCGCACTTACAATGTTGATAATCAGGTGATTTTTTCCCTTTTTTTGAGAAAAATGCCACATTTTCCGACATTGATTAGGAGGGATGGGGAATATGTGATCCAGCTCAACCGTCCAAACTACTTTAGTCCAGGATTGTAGTTCCAACATACTCCTCCTTGCCAATCAATCATAGTGAACTCAACAAGGAAGAGGAAAACAAAGAAAAGGGAAGTTATATTCTGCCTAAGTAATTACTTATTTCCTCCAGTAAACAATTGAAAACAAGCAGTTCCGAACAGAAAGTACGAAGTCAGCAAACTTCACTTAATGGCAGCAATGAGGCTAATATTTATAATGCTGCATAATAACAAATAGGTAAATAGTCCTAAAGGGATAATGTCACAAAAATAAAATTTTTGAAATTATGGGATATGATGTCATATTCTTATAGAGGATCCTAAAAGATGCCCTCATCCCAAAAATTAGCTCTGAATTGCAATTCCCGATAGAGATATACGGGATCAAAGTTTGATAGCATCCCATACAAACCCTTCAAAATTTGTTTCACTTCCTTCAGTTTAGAACTGACTCAAAATTAGAGAGATTTATTTGGGGCAGTACCAAATTTTCATCCTTTATATTTTGGCTGGGAATTACAATTAAGAGCTAATTTTTGGCAAGGACCCTTTTTTAAGGACGCTCTATTCGAAAATGGCACCAAATCCCATAATTTCTCAAATTTATTCTTTTGTGACGTCACACTTTNACGAAAATCACCGGCTACTTCACTCACAAAATGACACCAAAAGTTTAGAAACCGAACAAATCTGACCAGCATATTCATTTCCCTGGTAAAAATGCGAAAAGTAAAGCATCTTACTTCCAAATTGCAGGCTTTTCTTCCAAGAAAAGTAATGACAAAGTAGATATCTCAATACATCATAAAGTCCACACTGTGTACTGAGTGGTTACCAGGACTCCTCTCTGTTGTTACATAACATTTCAGTGTGACATTGCACGTGACTGACAAGCCACATGCATGCCTACTATTTTTTATCAGCCATCTACTTCAAAACTTACTTAGAGTAACTAAGTAAAACAACTGATTGATCATTGATACTATTCTTTTCAAGAAGCGAGACTTGCTAGAATTTCTCTGAGGAAAGGCAATTCTTGGCAATGCCAAAACGTTAAATTCATTTTCCTTCTGGGGGCTTTTCCCCCTGGACCCCCAATGGCGCTCTGCCCCTGTACCCTGCTGGGGGCCTCAGCAGCCCCCAGACCCCTCACCTGTGGAGAGGGGGGGGCTTTGGCCCCCATAGCTGTCTACTTTCAAAATATCTCCGCCTACTTCAAATCTCATTGACAGCCCTGATTATTTCATCATTCACATCAGAGATCCGACGGCAAATCTACATCCCTAGCAATCCTAAGGTTAACAGGAAGTGATCGGGTGACTGACTGAAATTCGCACCTATAACAATACTTCTGAATAATCAGAAGTGAGAATGGTGTGGAAACAAGCCTGCAGCTACGTAGTAACAGTTAACACACGTAAGAAACAATCCGTTTTTGTCAACTGTTGGAATGTCTAGTACACCAGCACTAGAGCTACTCCAAAAGAGGGTTAACTTAGAAGTCACACATTTCTTCAATTTCTAGTAATGATGTTTACAAAAGAGCACAGAGAAACCCTTTTACCTTTTGTTTCCATATTTTCTTCAGTACCACACTCATCCATAACATGCCCCTGAATCTTTTGTTTACTCTCTTCCACAGGTTCAGCAACACTTTCCACATCCTGCAAATAGCAAGCATGATTATTTTTTAATTGGTGACTTTCCCTAATGGTCATAGATTCAAGATGTACTGTGTACATTAAACAGGGTTTGAAATTGAAAATGACTGGTCATCAATAGGACCAAAAAGCTTGTATTGGTGACCAGAATTTCGCACCTGGTTGCCAGCAGGCGACAAATCTTTGGTCCCCAAGTGCCTTTTTACATGGAGATTACGTAAGCAATCTATAGGGTTTTAGCTGTGGTGCAGATTATGCAAATGATATGCAAAATTGTAAATCTATTATGTTTGAGGAGGAGCAATTAGCTGCCCATGGAGTCAGTAATTTACTGCACATTCTCACAATAAAAAATAAGTCGTCCACATTTGAAGTCAGAAGAAGAGTTGAGTGCATGTATTACTGATGTTTTAACAAAGTTCCAGTCTATTTCTGGTTAAATGGAACAGGAAATAGCAATTGAAAGTATGTTAATGAATCAAGACATACTTGTTGTGTTGCTGACTGCATATGGGAAGAGTTAAATATTACAAACATACATGATTGCAAGCCAGCAACATAACAACACAAAGGAGTTTGTCTGTTTATCAGCATCACTAAAGACCAGACTGCCAAAGCAAGATCACTTGGAATCAAGTGTATGTCCTTGCTAGACATAAACTTTGATGGTTTTTCTTTGGCAAAACTTTACCAACAACGGATATCGCGTCTGCATGTTGTTATGAGAAAGATTTACAATTTTCCCGGAAATCTGAGCTGCCAAAGTTCATACTTCTGGTGAAAATTAGTTGGCTTATTTTTTTCTGCGGTTCGCGGGTGGGAATGAAAAATTTGCAGAGATCAGAGCCGCGCACTTGTGCTCCAACGTGAGCCTGCTCACAACTGTGGGTGTGGAATCCACCGCAAGAAAAACCTGAACTTGAGGACAAACTCTCCATGCTATGCAAATAACAGTGAAGAAACATAAGTCGCATTGGAAGAAGAATCCCAGATAGTGAGAGCAGGAGAACTAGCTAGAACTTTTTCGAACTGAAATCCAATCCAAGCATTAAAATTTCATCCCCAGACAAAAATTTTTGCGCTTCTTCAAGCTGATACACTTTGGCACTTGAATAGGCTGATGAGCTATCTTATCGCAAAGTCACACAACAGTTGTTGAGAGAGAAAAACAAGCCACATAAGCATCAGACCGTGTGAAAATATTTATTGTGCCGCAAAAGAATATCCTGAAATGATACAACCTTTCTTGATTACCAGGATGTTCTTCGGGCCTTCAAGGAGCAGGAAAAGACGCTACAGAGGCAGCTTAAAACACAAAAAGAAGGGAAGTTCAAATGAGGATTGATTCCATGAACATTCTAGTAGAAGAACTGCCTCCTGTAGGAGAGGGAAAAGCATTTGTGGTGACTGCCATCATCGAGGTCATCGCAACTCTGCACTGAAACCATGCTCCTTAATGAAATGCAACAAGAACACGTATTGCGGAATAAAGGAAAGACACCACAAATATTTCAGCCAGTTGACTGCACCTAAATTAGTGTGAAGAGATGCTGTCGATCAACTTGAAGGTCAATTGAAGTCCATGGAACAGTTCTCTACGAGCAGCAAATACCAGTTCATCAAAAGTGTAACATCACGAATGTACCAAGCTGAAAATCATACAAAGCAAACAAAGCTAAGTTGATGAGAGATGTACAGCTGCTAAAAGTGTCTTGAGGGAAAATCCTCCCTGTAACGACAAATGACAGTGAAGAAATTAAAAACTTGATTTTGAGATGCAAGAGATCCAAGCAAATTCATGACGACGATTGTCCAAAAAGAATGAGTCCACATCAGTTCTCTTAGCAGAGTTCACATCCCTCATTAACTTAACTTAAGGTGGCTCAATAGGGTAATGATTTATCATGTTCCACACGCTAGTGTTTTTGCATTCATTTTAACGCCAAGTCCTCTCAAACTTATTAAAGTGATTCATTAGTATTGCATTGCGCATCCCTACCACACACAATTTTAGAGTCATTAGTGCACGCACATGAGCGAGTGCGCGAAATAGTTAGTTAGTTCTTTGCAGCTCCCATTTGCAAAGAGAAAGAATTGTTTTGTTTATATTCAAAATAGAAAGTCTAGACCTTAGTGCTAATTTGCTGACATCACAGTGCACAATTAATTTTATTTGTAAAACTGAAACGGGTGTGAATTTTACATGAGAAACAATCGGCAAGGAAGCCTATTCCAATAAAAAAAAGAAAGAAAAAAAGACGATAAAATGGGTACAGTTCGAAAAGTTTAAATTTACCTTACGAAAAGTTTAAATTTACCTTTAAAATTTTTACCAATTATTTTCCATTCCACTATACTACACTCCACACCACACCATCCCATCCCCTTAAACAATAATTTTTACTTGCTAAAATGAAACTACTTTTTATACAAAGCATTTCTACAAAAACATTTTGCATGAAAAGGTAATGGATAACAAATGGATGATAAACATTACTGTTTTCTTCTATGTAATGTAACAAACTATTCACAACACTCTCAATGATACACCAAGATAAAATATGACGCAATAAATTAATGTACCCCCGCTTCTGCACAGGGGAAGGGGGTGCTTCCTCACAAAATTTTAAACTCAGGGTGCCTTTAAGTTTATTCCAGTGCATTTTTTGCACCCATAACTGATTTTGTTGAATGCCACTGTACACTTATTAACAAGGGTTAGTGTCGAAAAACTTTGTGAAATTAATTGCATTTAAAGTTTTAGCATCTGATGTACTTGGTATATGAGACCCTTTCCATGTCTGGTGCATCTAACAAAAGCAATGAGCTGATGTGTCTATTCTTACTGTTGATTCTTTACCCCTAAAGTTTACAAAATGGATACATTTTCCTTGAATTCAGTTTTACAGAAAACACTTGGTTTCGACCCCCTCAACCCCCAAGTTCATTTGTGCTTTCGTAATGAAAGAGAGCTGCAGATGAATCAATGGAATTAATATAATATTTCCATGAGGCAACTTCTGTTGATATCTTTCCTTTTACATAAATAAAGTATCACAACAAAGTCCGTGGTCTCATTTCATTTCCTCATTGGTTCGCTGCTACCCTGGGTGCCAGACGCAGGTTCCGGTGTCGGTCATGTCTCTATTGAGACCTGTGCGAAAAACCTCTGGAGGCAATGCCAAGCCAGTTAATATCTGTCTATTCCAGAATCTGGACTGGAAAGCTGATTGGCTCCTAACGACTTCCCAAGGGTTTTCTAATCTAACAGACACAGTGATTGGTTTCTAAGAATGGAGAATGTGAGCCTGTAAAATGTTGCCAATAATCTGCTTGTCACTTGGTGACGTGATGATCGAGATGGCTCATTTTGAGGTTGATTTTTTTGTGCACTGAAAGGTTTGTGAAATATCAAGATCTGGACAAAGCCATAACAAAAGTTCCTCAAAACATTCGACGGTGTTGACAATTTAAGCACCAATTGAAGGGGTGAGTGCAAAACCATGCTAAGTGGCGATTTGGGTGAAAAAAAAAATTTTCGAGAAAGGGCTTGAATTTTGCATGTGGTCTTCAATGTAATAGAAAAACGCAGCCCTGTATTTTTGTCGCTGGTTTTTGCTTTGTTTTCGAGTTATATTGTATGCAAAAATACTTGGCTTTTCCTAGCCATGTCTTTAGGAGTTTATTTGATGAACAGCAAACAGGCAGACTGTTTATAGTGTATGAAGTCAAAATCAAATCTCACAGCATATATAGAGCGGAAATCCGGGAACAGATTGTTTACATCAGTTATTGTGACATGAACACAACACGTGAATCGATCGAGCGTCAAATGAAAT